AATTCATAACAGTAGCAAAATTACAGTCATGAAGTAGCAACAAAAATAATTTTATGGTTGGGGGGCCACCACAACATGAGGAACTGTATGAAAGAGGGCCAAGGCGGCATTAGGAAGGTTGAGAACCACTGCTCTAGGGCAAGATAGAACTGCTCTGTGAGTTTCAAAGACTGTAACTTTTGGGGGGAGTAGAAAATCCTCTCTTTCTCCAATGGTGTGGCTGGTCTTTTCGAATTGCTGGCCTTGGAATTAGCAGCACAGTGTGTAATCTCTATGCCAGTATATGCAAAATGTAAAAATGGAGCTGCTAAATTGGAAGATGAGATTTAGGACAGCATTCCAACTCTACCCTTCTTCAACTTTATAATTTACTATCACTATAGCTTTTAAGGGGAGTGGTGGTGCGGGGGGTGCTAAATTTGTTACTTTCTCTCAATTACTTCTTGAGACACTGAAACATTTCTAAGAATCACACAACTAGTGGAAGAGTTGATTAACTAGCTTCCTTTTCTTTATATTTCCCCAATAGACACAGCATTGTAATACTTCTTTGCCATTCAGAAGAGAAATTGAATTATTTTTCACTATCACAATGGGCCTGCACAAAATCTCAGGACAAAAGCTATTGACTTTTTTAATCATAGAAATATCTTACTTTTTGTAGATGAGTATGAAGGTAGATTCATGAAATATAAAAATCCAAATTCACATGTTCATTCAGTCTTCTGTCTGAGTCCTGGTGGCATAGTGGGTTAGTCATTCAGCCAATAACCATGAAGTAAGCAATTCGAAACTCACTGTCCTCCCCATGGAAGAAGATGATGGTTCCTAGTCCCTCAGAGTTACCGTCTCAGAGACCCACAAGGGCAGTTCTGCTTTCTCCTAGAGTGTTGCTGTGAGTTGGAAATGACTTGTTGGCTGTAAATGTATTTTAAAACAAGCTTTAAAAATGTATACATGTTTAAAATGGTCAGAAAAGGACACATGGAGCTAGTTTTAGGAAACATGAAAACTCTCTAATTAAGAATTGCAGTTAACCCTCTATCTATAGGATATCAGCAACTATAAGTAGATAGTTTTCACTCCCAAAATGGATTCCAAATTCACATGATAGTTTGGTCTGCATTCTAACCCCTGTGGAGACGGAATGATGATTTCAGAAAAATATATGGAATAGTGAATATTTCCTTTAAACCTAGAATGCTCTTTTGATGAAGGAAACATAACATGGTGTCTTTTATTGTTCTGAAACAGTGTTTATATCTGTTCTTAGAACAATCTCCTGCTGGAACAACCAAAAGTGTTCTGAGATACTGTCTTGTAGAGCAATGCATTTAGCATAGGTACCTGAGGAGTCTAAAAATAAAGAAGTGTTACTTCAATTATTTTTAACTGAATTTCCCAAGCTATTTGAGCAAGAGACCCATCACATAAGGGCAGGGAAGAAATGTTTACTATCCTACAGATTAATGTCCTACAAAATAAATTTGGGGAATAGTTTTCTGAAGGCTGTGCCTATGTATTTTTATGTAGAACACAATTTAGAGATCATACTTTATTTTGTTATGGAAATATGTTTTTGAATTCATACTTATATAACTGGGTTGAGATAAAGAAAACAAAAAACCCAACAGCTGCGTAATGGGCATGTACTTTTCACTTCCGTTCACAACTTCATCCATTCATCAAGCAAACACGAGGAACCCACATCTTGCCTGTCTCAATGTTGAGTGGGACAGGGAAAGAAAAAGATGAATGAGTCTTGCCTCCAGGGATTTAAAAAGTCTTATTTGGGAACAGGGGTAGGAGGTATGGATGGAGAGTGATAAGTGAGTAAATTGACAGATAGATACAATATGGAATAGAATGTCTTGAGGTCTACATGACAGTGGTTTTCAGGAGCAAGTCTGAAAATCACTTTCCATTTGCTGCACAATGAGAGAGTCTCTTTTCTTCTATATTACAGAGAGTTTAAATGATAACCAGTTTTAATTTTATTTACTATAAAAATAGTATTGCATTTAGGAGAATGAAGTTATTTATTTATTATGGGTTTGCTCTAGTTCAAAATAAGAAAGAGCAATAATTCCTGCTTTATTCACTTGTGTTAAGTGAATACATTTATCAGATTGATGTTTAACATCTATGTCCATGTTCCTCTTCATAATTTGTAATTTATTTTTGAGTGTCTAAATATAACTCCATCTTTTACTGGTTCACCTTTCACTCTGCCACGATATTTATATTTGGAGATCTATTTTCTTGTTTGTGTTTTGATTAATTAATAACTCCAAGCTGAATAGTATCATTTCTATTACAAAGTACAGTTTTTAAGTAAAGGAAGTAGATTAGGCAAAATGAAAGGAAAGTCAGAAGTTGTATTTTTTCTTTAACCTTCAACAAGGTTATAAATAGAAATGCTCACTTATAGAAATAAAGTTTAGCGCATTAAGGCAGATTGCTTGTATATACCTGTGATGTAAAATTTTATATTTTCTGTTTCTGATAGGGTCCCATTGTATACTATTTATCTCTTTTAAATTTTGTTATAAGCAAAAAGGAAGAAAGAAAGAAATGCTAGATATAAAATATCAATGTTATTTGTTCTGTTCAGATATCTTCGGGTCTGACTCTAGCACAAAACTTGGGAACGTGTTATTTAGGAGCACTCTGTGCTGCATAAAATGGTGCAGGGATTTATAGGCAGCCTTACTTTGCTAATAAAAGGGAAGCATCATTTTTGTCGGTATATTAGCATGATCATGTTGCCTTATGAGCTATGTATTTAAAGTTGTAATTGCTACAGATTCCACTGTGTGCTTTTTGATGTCCAAAATATCTGGCATGTCACATCTAAAATTTTGATTTATGTTCTGATTTGAAAGTGAAGTGAAGCATAACTGTGCTGTGAATTTGCTTTTCATCTTTATACTTTCAATTAACTTTGCGTTTTAAATTTCCATGAATGTGTGAAAATAGTAAGCTGGTTATGAGGTCTGAAGAACTAAAAGCCAGTTTTTATTTTCCTTGAAAATCTATAGTAGGCTTATTAGATTAAAAGTTCCATAATAACTTATTTATTATTTTTATATATGTATTATTGTATAATTATTAAACAAAAGAGAACTACTACTGTGCTGAAATTTTGCCATCAGGTGACTTATTGGGACAGAGAGAGCTCAGGGTGGTGTATGAGACTGCACAGTACCAGGGTAACCTTCTCAGCAGAGTCTGAAAGCAGGGAGCCAGGTGTGCTATTAAATGAAATACTAGTGAAAAATTTATTATCACTTGTCAGGGAATATTTTTTGATTATTTGAAGTAAATATGGGAATTAATTTTTCAAATATAGAACTTTTATTTCTCTTTAGAGAATAAGGAAAGTAATAGTAGCAAATGAATTAAAGCTGGCAGCTCAGGACTTCAATAATCATTCTTTGGAGTATAAATTCACAAATATATTATTGTCAGTTATTTGTAAATGTTTGGGTATTAATAGCTTAAGATAGCTTAAAAGGAGTTTCTTTTCAGATATTACAAGCATTGTTTCTGTTCTGAAACAGACTAGTTCTGTGTTCAACAATGCTTTGTTCCATCTCTATGTGCTAATATTAGGGTTTCCCCCAATTTTAGGAAAGGCAGTAATCATGTTGATCCTGAGGACTTTTTCTAAACAGAGAAGTCAGTTGTAATTTGAAAATTCTACCTTAAATATAATTTCAGAAACAAGGTTTTCTCAAAGTATTTTACTTAAAATTTGCAAACATTTGACTCTTCCTCCAACTTTTTTTGTTTTGTTTTTAGTATTATGCTCTCCTTTTTAAATAAGTATTTTCCTCAAGATTATCTTTAGTCTGTAATTAAAAAACAAAAACAAAAATACCAAACTACCACTTAATTCTTTTATTACTTAGCCTTTAATTGAAAGAGAATTCCTTCATTGTCTTAATACTTTCAGCTAGGACATGACCAACAAATGAAAATCAGAATTTGCAAATTCAAATGGCCTTTACAGAACAAGAGGTGAAATGGCTACTGGTTCTTAGCAGAATGAGCCCCAGTGGTACAGTGGCTAATCACTCAGCCACTAACCAAACTGTTGGCAGTTCAAAGCCACCCTGTTGCTTTGAGAAAGAAAGACGTGGTGATCCGCTCCTGTAAAGCTTACACCCTCGAGGCAGTTCTTGGTCACATGGGGCTGCTATGAGCTGAAAGTAGCTCAAGGACACCCAACAGCACTCGTTATGAGCAGCAGTGACATGAGAACCCAGTGGTGACATCACCACAGGGCCCTACCATATCTTGAAACTTGCTAAAAAGTTAATTTGCCTGCGTGTCAACCTACAGTGAATGTACATTAGCATATGCACCAATCAATGTCAATGATCAAATCCTTCTTTGTGCGTCCACTAAAGAGTTCTTGCTCATGGGGAGCTCAATGAGAACATTTTAAGTAGGCTATGGAAGAGGTTTAAAATATTGGTCAGCTAGGTAGGCCAACCACTGAGGTGCTGAATGTTTTTAGAGCAATTAACAACAAACTTGCTTTCTGCCCAAACCCAGAACCCTCTCTTTCTGTAAGGATT